CATTTCGACCAACCCGAGTTCTCCTAGATTGAACATGAGGTTCAAAATAGTATGTGCAAAAATTTGATGTCTCCTTTGATATATATGCCTGGCATATGGATCCTTCCACTTGAGCTCTATTTTTCACAGTCCTTTGAACCCTCCAATTTCTCGTTCAAACGGATACATCCACTTGTATTGTACTGGTCCACAAACACGTGTTTCATATGCTAAGTGTATAGGCAAGTGCTCCATGGAATCAAAGAAACCAGGGGAAAGTATTCTCTATAATTTGTACAAAATCACAGAAATATTTTTCTCCATAACTAATAGATCTTCAACCCTTAGCGTAGGTGAACACAGGTCCCTAAAGTACTCACTTAACTCAGTCCATGGCTTCCAAACATGGTCTGGTAGTTCCCTAAATGCAGTAGGTAGAAGACACTCCATGAATATGTGGCAATCATGACTTTTCATCCCAAAAAATCTTCCTTGTTCAACATTCACACAACGGCCGAGGTTTGAAGCATAACTGTCAGGCATTTTTAAGTCCTTCACCCACTTACACACATCTTGTCTTTATGGTAAAGTCAGAGTGTAACTTGCCTTTGGTTTTGACCATTGACCATCTGCAAGTTGTTCTAACCTCAATTCAGGACGCCTACAATATTCTTCTAAATCTTGCCTTGCTTTTACATTATCTTTAGTTCGATCAGTGTCCATTACAGTATTCATGATATTGTCAAATACATTTTTTTTTTCACATGCATCACATCTAAACAATGACAAACTAAGTTATCCTTCCAATATGGGAGCTCCCAGAATATACTTTGTTTGGTCTAATTATGTGTCATCCCATAACCAGGAAACCTAATGAATTTTCTTACTTCTGTTATTTTTGACAAGTGTCTAACTCTATCTCATACTTGATGACCATTTAAACGGGCAGGAGGGTCCTCATTCTCAACAGTTACTTTCCTAAATTTGTAGGCTTGACGCCTATAAGGATGTTCCATATCTAAAAATCTCCTATGGCAATCAAACTATGAATTTTTTCTTCCATGTTTTAAAGTAAATGCCTTTGTATCCTCCATACAAATTGGGCATGCTAATTTCCCTTGAGTCATCCATCCAAACAACATTTCATAAGCAGAAAAATCATTTATCGTTCACATCAGTACTGCCTTCATGATAAAATTTTGCTTCCTTGATACGTCATAAGTTACTACACCCTCACACCATAACTCTTTCAACTCATCAATCAAAGGTTGAAGCTATACATCAATTTTAGCCTTTGAATTTTCTGGACCAGGAATTATTTCAGTCAAGAATAAATATGGATTTTTCATGCTCATTTCAGGAGGAAGATTAAAAGGTGTAACCACAATAAGCCAACAAGAATATAGTTTATTAAATTGATTGTTTGGAGCAAACCCATCAGCATATAACCCTAACCTTACATTTCTAGGATCGGATGCAAACTCAGGATACACTTTATCAAAATGTTGCCAAGCCTGAACATGAGATGAATGAGTCATTATCCCATCACTCCTTTTATTTTTAGCATACCACGTCATGTAAGGAGCTGAACTCAAAGACGCATACAACCTTTTTAGCCTAGGAATCAAAGGCAAATAATGCATTCTAGTTTGCGGTACATCTTTATGTTTACCACTTCTACCACCTCTTCTTTGTTTAAACCTAGGCTCTCCACAAAATTTGCAATTGGTCAAAACAACATCATCTTTGTAATACAGCATGCAGCCTTTCAAACAATAATCAATTTTGACTTCTTTTAATCCAAGTTTGGAAACTAATTTTTTTGCTTGGTAAAAGTCTTTTCGGATGGAGTCAAGTTGGGGACTAAGCTCACTAATTAAAGTAGCTCATTGATCAAATGAACTCTGACTTTGATTGCCTTCTAACTTTATGCTTAACATTCTTATTGCTAAAGATAACTCTGAATGCACACACCCATCCCATAAAGGCTTGTTTGCTGCTTCTAAAATATTATAAAACTTTGCAGCCTCTCCATTAGGTTCTTGTTCAGCTTCAAAATCATGAAAAATTCTAAATTGATAACCAACAGCATCATAAACCATTTCTTGATAACGACTATTACTTTCTTCCCAACTTACATTACCTACTTCCTTACCTGATTGCAATATATTTGAATTACCTACTTGATTTTCCAAATTAACTATTTCCCCATGCTCAGTCCATATGCAATAATCATGTTTAAATCCAAACTTATACAAATCATATCTAATTGAATTAATATCCAAAAACTTTCTACACTTGCACTTAGAACATGGACACCTAACGACCTGATTGGTTATGAATTGCTGCGAATTATAACAGACGCGTATAAATTCCTTTACACCCTCAAAGAATTTAGGTTTTATTTCCCCTCGACTTGGATGCAACCTATCATACATCCACTGACGATTTCTGAGAAACATCTTCCTCAAGAACTATATAAACATAATACAAATATACAATGTGGTGTCAACCTTCTAAAATACATTACAAAAATTTTTAATATAAATTTTGGCAGAATCTCCTCTAATACATGTCAATTTCCTTACATTTGTTTACTATTTTTTTACAAAAATCAAAATTTCACCTAAAATCAACTAATAAATTATATAACAATATATTAATCGATACATCAAACACAAACACATCACAATCCTAAACTGTTCTAGAGCACATCCAATTGTAACTCCACAACATGCATATTCTACAAACTTCACAAACACAAACAATTTCACAGCACACAATAATCAGGTTCGGAGAAGGACCTCTACACCCTTCCCCCAGTCATACAATCTCCAATCCTACAACTCTATCTTAAAAATTTTAAGTGTCTAAAAAATATAAAAAATTAAAAAACTAAACTGATTAAAAGTTAGAGTATCGTACCAGGAATACAATGATGCAAAAAAACTTTCAAATGGTTGCTCCAATCACTCGCAAAGGCCAAAACACTGAGCTCCTAGAGAGAGAGAGAGAGAATTCTGAGAAATGAGGAAGGGGAGACGTGGTTTTATGGGTTTCAGTCATTATAGACGGGAAAATCCGTTTATAATGAGTTTAATGAAACGGTGCGTTTCAGATGGTATCTTACAGACGGATTTTTTCGTCTGTAAATTCGTCAGTTCCATTTACAGATGGAAAAATCCGTCTGTAATTTCCTGCTATAACATTTCCTCCTATTTTCAAATTACAGATGAAAAAATTCGTCTGTAATTCCTGTCTATAATGTTTTGCGCCAAAAGACGGTCAAATTACAAACGGATTAAAATTCATTTGTAATACAGACAAATTTACAGACGGATTTTTTAGAAAAAAAAAAATTTAATCCACAAATTCGTCTGTAAATTCGTCTGTATTACAAACGGATTTCAATCTGTCTGTAAAATTCGTCTGTATTAAACACTTTTTTAATAGTGACGCCAAAGCAAAAATGAAGCTTGCTTAACCTTCTTGCCTTGAAGTAAACCAAATCATGTTGTACATTAATGTTTTTCAAAATATAAATGGGAGCACAAGGTTAATATTAACCAAAAGAAAAGCATACACCTGACCAATGATGATTGGCTTCATTTGAGGAACAAGTCAACGGTAGATTTCATGTGCTGCTGCCATAAACAACACAATATATAGCTATCAGATACTTCAACAATAATTCTCCTAAACGAATTGCACTTTGTACGTAAGTACTTTGTCAAGAAGCAGCTGTACGTCAAGGAAGCGCAAGAACTTTGGATGGCGTATATATATATATATATATATAGACCTTTCCAAAAGCTTAAGTATAAATAATTATATGAAAAGCAAAAAACTTATTGATTGAACTTAAGCAAATTGACAAAACAGAATCAGCATACACAGATAGTAGAGAATATAAGATAATAGTAGTCCAATCCACGAATCACAATTCACAACTACTCTTTTTAAGGAAACTATACTTGGCAGATTCAAGCATGAAATCAAGAACTAAGTCATGTTCCTATATAAGAAAGTTTCATCTTTATCTAAAGTTCGATCCAAATCCATTTTTCATCGTGCCACTCCGCCAAATAAAAATTATTCAGAAAATAAAAGTTTTTTTAATAATCGTTGCACCCAAAGAGAATTATTAATCTCACTTAGGAGTGTTCAAGGATAAGTAAATCTAATTAACATGAACAACTTGACTCAATCTAAGGCAAAGTAAATGAGTCGATCAAATTCTTAGGTAAAAACGATCCAGAAAATATTAAACCCGACCAATGCATGTTGGATATCGGATTTGTTCTCCTCCAACCGACCCGATCAACCTCCTCCTCCTTCTTCTTCTTATTATTATACATAAAATAAAATATATAATCATATTTTTTTTTAATAAATAATAAATACTTTTGTGTATATATTTCAAGATCCGACTCCTCGATTCAATTCATTCTTGATAGAGTTGGTTTATTTCAAGTTACAAATTCAAAATTAACTAAATCTAACTTAATCCATATCAATTTATTTTTAGTGTTTATTAATGTATTTATAAAATTGAAAGAATATTTTATATCCTCTTTAAATATGTAGTTATGATTATTTTAGTATCTTAAAAATTAAAAAATATTTATATTTTTTAAAATATATCATTAAATCTCGTTATTTATTATACATGCTTAATATAACATTAAATTCACCGTAAAAATTACTTTATTTTTATTGGTACGTTTTTGTTTTTTTTTCTGATAAAACCCGACCCAACACGTAAGCAGTCATATTCTCACCTTAGGAATTGCAATGACCCGGCCCCGCACATCTATCACCAATGGCGTTCTATCAACAAAGAAGGGGCCTAAGCGTGGTATTCGCCTTTGCAGCTAGCTCTTAGAGAAAAAGGAGCTTTGCCATCTCTATCAACTACTAGAGGATAGCATATATAAAGCTGTATACTCTTAGATTTGGGTATATATGAAAGCTAAAAGTAAGTCATTTTACTAAAGTGTACACCAAAGAAGAAATCTTTCACTAAAGTACTTTATTGAGATTCTTCACCTTATTAGTCTCATATCATCCTTCTAGTACAAAAAACACAGCCTTTATATATTCCAACATAATACACAAAATTAAATGGCTAAACAATTACCCGCACATATTACTACAATTCTTCTTTTTGCTCAAACATACAAAAAGAAAAAGAAAAAGAAAAAAAGAGAAGAAGCAAGCATGCGTATTCTAACATGCAATATATGATTATTGAGAAGTCATCGAATTAGGGTTTTGTGGCCTCCACACCGCGTGAGAAGAAAAAAAAAACTCTTCCGTATGGGATTTCTGTTAAGCGCAAGAGGGTGGAATTTTTGGAATCCCTTGTTTTTGTAATTCACCCATTACACCATCAAGTGCTGGAGCTTTAAGGCCAAGTGGCAGTGGCAACCATGGTTTTGATAAAGCATCACTAATAGCTGCGTCTATGCTCTCCTTTGACTGTTAAAAAGAAATCAAATTAACCATGCGATAATAATTTTGCTCTTAATAAAAATATAACTGTGCCGTTGATTATGTATTTCTATATACATCAATTTCTTTTTCGTGGAACCAATTATTAGCTTCTTGTGTTTTTTGCTAAATGGTAAAATGAAACATGAAATAAATTGCCCATGAGAACGACGCGAATCCAACAAAAAATTATTTTGTATTCATAGACACGGACGAACATTGATGCGTGTGTACACTGTGTTTGAGAAAGAGAGAAAGAGAAGTGAGAAAGTGACGGAAGGGAAGAAATTAAAGAGACAGAGAAGGAAATTTACTAAATCAGGTTAATTTGTGCTCAAGCAAACTTTTTTTAGTTTATATCTGCGGAGCTATGTTGGCTTAACTATCAATCTATCATGGTTAAACCGTGTTCATAAAAAAAGGGTCTAATTAGCAATTAATTATAAGTACAACTCTCTAGCGAGAATCTCATTTTAATAGAAAAAATAGTTCTGGTTTACAAAATATATTTTAAATATTCAAAATAATTAGAGTTTTTTTAAGTCCTAACTCGGTATAACTTATACTTTTGATAAATTCGAAAATGAATCCTTAAAACATATAAAATAAATACCACTTTTTAAATAAGATATTTTGACTATAAAATATATTCATGCTCTTGAAATTTAATGAAATTTTCACTTTATATTAATCTTTTCTTTTTACATTTCTTTAATCTCTCTCATATTTATAACACTACGAGATAAAAAAAATATATACAATATTTTGTTGCTATATTAGGGAGTTTGCATAAGACGTAAGTATAATTTATCTTATCTTTTATGATTATTAGTATAACACATTTTTTATATATATGTGTTTGAAATTTACCGGATGAAAGTCGAAGAGGGGCCGAGGTGGTGGTTGGCTTGCTGGGATGCTAATGCCTGGATCTACTTGGTACATTGCATGGTGTGGTGGGATGCCTGGTACAGTTGGAGACCCAAATCTCTGCATGTTATTGCATAGTATTTCCTCTACGGTGAGTGAACCGAACCTTAATTTTGTAAATATGACAACATTTTATACAGTAAAGTTGTTCGCAAAAGGATCCAAAATTCAAAGGAGAAGACAACTTGTGTGGTTCCAAAAGAGTAAGGCGAATAGTTACCGTGGTTGTCAGACCCTGTGGAAAACACGGTCTTCCTGGGGTGGGCACGTTTGGGGCCTGTATCAAACAAAAATATGCCTGTTTAGATAAACAATAGAAATAGGGATTATATAAGATTGGTTGTTTTGGAGAAAGTAATTTTAAGTGTCAATCAACTGTTCCATTTGGTGTGTCTTATGCATTCCATACCATGAATCAAGGGTTTAGTATTCATCTGTTTTTATTTAACAACTTCAAATTTTTATATTATTCATGCATAACATAAAATCAAAACTTTTATAATTAAGTGATCTAGAGTTTGGTATAATATATAATTATTAATTATACGTTTCTTTTATTTATCAGTTTAAAATTTTGAAATACTTAATTTATGAAAAAAATACTATTCTCCCATAACACAACCCATATGTTAATTCATATAATTATTTTAAATTCAAGAGAGTTAACCCGTTGGTGCCAATATAAAGGATCTGGTGGAGGCGGCGGAGATAGAGCTGTCCGCGGTGGCCACGGTGGTGGTGCTGACGGCGAATATGGTATGTGTTTAGGCCACATATGCATAAAGGACTGGTCCATTGTGTGATGCCCCCATACATGTAAAGGTCTAAAATGGTGCATTGGTGTCATGGGAGGGAAACCCATGGTTGGTGCGAGCCAAGGGTTCACATCTCTCTTGCCTCCTCCTCTACCAACACTTGCTGCACTGAAACATTGCCTCCGTTGACTCCAGCTTGCTGCTTCAGCTTCACGCGCTAGCAAATGCTTTCTATGCGAACGATATTTCTGCATATCCAAAACTAAATATTTTAGCACCCTCCGTTAAAATTAAAGAACTAACTATATGCGAGTTTCAATCATGTATTGTATGATATCCAAATCTAATTAATTACCATTGGAAACATAAACCAAATTTCACCTAGAAATCTTTTGCGTTTACATACATAATTAACTTCTAAAAGTTTCTACATATATTAAAAGGAAGTAATTATCAAAGTAGGTTTCAATAACTAAAAGTGCGAAACAAATAGCTACAATAATATCAATCAATAACGAGTATAATCTATCTTTTTTGGTTGCTTTGTTGAATCTTCGTGACTGAAATTTATATAGAAGATATTGAAAACCAATACGATAAAACAAAGTTGAAAGACATAATTTATTATATACTTGAAGGTGGCTGGCAATGTTATGGCGGGTGAGGCAGTCAATTCCCATAATCTCCAAAATCCTTGAAGGCACAGCCTTATCCACTCCTAGCTGCTCCACTGCTTGCACGAATCGCCTGTGCAAATCTGGGGTCCAATCCACCTTCACACAACCCAAGAAAATGAAAAAAAACCCGTTACTATAATTCAAATTAAAATTGGCATAATAATGAAATAACGCTCTTCTTCTGATTGCACCTCTCTCTCTCTCTCTTCAATGTACCCGTGAGTTCTTTTGACAAACTCAGCAACTTTAGGAAGACCCATCATAGAGATAGAGACAGAACCTTAAGGGTTAGCCTTAACTCCACATGAATTTCCCCGAAACCAAATTAATAGAGCACACCAACCTAATACCTAAGCAAGAAAAAAGTGCAAGCTAGCTAGATAGCAATAGTGTTAATTACCTTCACCTTTCTCTTCCCGTGAGGATTGGTCTTGGATTGAGTCGATGATTTTCTTCCTTTCTCACTTTCCTTAGGCAAAGGATTCACCACCACTGATTCATCACTTCTGCTCACTATCTCTTCCCCTCGACTTGACCCAGAATTGGTTCCCGAATCTGAAGAAGAATTAGCAGCTTTATGATCTTCAACTTCTTTATTCGTAGCATTTATATTCCCATCATCAGATTTACTATTTGCCACTGAAATTGAAGAGTTTATCTCCGAAGATTCCTCACCACCGCTGAGTGAGAACTCAGCAAGCATTTCAGGGTCCATCTCCAGATCCGGCAAGGCATCTTCTTCATCATCGATTCCCATGAAGAGATCATCGAAGTTGATACTTTCAAGCAAGTTCCCTTCTGAAAGGTCAGCAAAGTCATCGGTTCCAATAGAGAAACCCTCCATCTCTCCTTGGCTTTCATCTCGTGTGCTCCTCAAAGGTGACACCGCCAGCATGAATATTCCTAGATTTCAAACTTGGTATAAATGATAAAAATGAAAATTACACTTATATAAGTGTATCTTTATATATATGATAACAAGTGTTCACAAGTGACGGTGCATGAAAATCCAGAAAGATAAGAGATGTATAAGAAGATGAATTTGAAAATGGTTCTGTTGCCTATCTAGGAAACGGAAAGGGAGTGTGTGAAGAAAGAGCTAGGTTGGATCTCTCTCGACCACAACTTAGGTCGTGTATCAAAAGAGAAATTTTTAGTGTTTTTGTTTTGGCGTGTGCTACTTGCAGTGATGGTTTGCATCTATATACTAAATAATATATTTTTTGGGTTTGTGGATGGCCTTTTTTGAGTGTTGAAAGATTTTTGAAAATTCAGATGGCATCATGGACTTATGCTAATTTAAATTAACCAGCTTTAAATCTGTAATGGATATATATGAAGGGGAAGGAGAATATTAGTTTTTTTATATATATAAGAGAAAGAGAAGAGAATGTTAGTTGAAGCTATTTCGGTGACTGTGTGTTTTGTAAGTTTTAACAGTACAATGGAAATGAAAGTGATGTATCGCATGTTGATTTTGTGGACAAATTGACCCGCTCTATTTTTTTTCCCTCACTTAACAGATAACGTCTATCTTGTTTCCTTGATAATCAATGAAAACTAGTTGGATAAGCTGCGCATTAATTATACATATGACTATTCATATATATATATATATATATATATATATGGTACGTAATAAAAAATTAGTAAATAATACATTTTTATAAAAATTATAATATGTTTATTTGGCAGATTCAAAACTTATAATATTTATATTTTTTATACATAAAATTTTGTATTATTTTTTACCTTTCTCTTCTTTTTTTTTTAATCAAACCATTTATCATATTTTTACTTATAATATCTCTTTCACCACCTGTTTTATTTATACTGTATTTTTGGAGTGTGACGTAAAATTTTCTTGATAATATATGGTCCTAACTTATTAACTAGGCCCCTCTTACACTTCTACTGCGACTTGCTGGTTGCTAGGAATAGAAATAATTAAATTCTCACATTATATATGCATATATGTTACTATATTAGGATTGAGATATTCAAAACCCTCTAATTTCAAACTAAAATATATTAGTCTCTAAATTAAAGAAATAAAAAATATTTTTTATCGGTTACGTTAGTTTCTAATGAATGTATAATTAGACCAACTAAAACAAACATACAAGTCATGAACCTATGTATATTCGTGTTCCTATGCTGCAGGGACCGACCCTATGTTTAGAACAACATCAATTATAATTATACGCACATTTCTTACACAAAAGTTACTTTGAATAGTGTCAGAGAAACACGTGTTTAACCTTTTTTTAAACGCAGAATTAAACACACGCTAATATAATGACGATGACTTGCGTTAAAATTGGGAAAGGAAATAAGATCTTTTATCCAATACATTTGTTAAGGATCTTTCTTCTTTTTTATTTTAAGATTACCAGTATCTGAACTTTACATTGGACATTTGTTTAATCTACGTATAGTTGATTTAGACAGTAAAATTCATTCTCCAACTTCTTAATGCAATCACTTGTTTTAGGATTTTAAAACCTCAAGTTAACTAAAATACTTCACTGTCAAATAACTTTTTAATCAAATCTTTAGTAGAAGAAACGTTTGGTATATGGCTCTGTCTGTGCCAAGTATTGGTATGTATGAAGATTTTTAAACAGATTGTATAAAATTTGGGAACCTTCCTGGGCGTTAGAGATGGCTGAGCTCTTTAACCCGAGTCCACATGCATTTGATCCATACACTTTTTGTCTTTACAAGTAAAACAAACTCCTAAACCTAAAAAAAAAGACTTTTTTAATGCATAATTTACTTAGACTCGTATAATTGTTAATGCGATAATTTATGTATTATCTCATTGAATTTTGTTTTAAATTAATAGGGCTTTCTAGTTTTTTTATGTCGGTGGATAACATTCAATTTGTCTATTGTTGAACATTTTTAATTATTTCAAAGATTCTTTTAAATTTTACAAAAAGAAATGTTTAGAGCATTAATTAAGGAATATAAACATTAATTACAAAAAAGTATGATATTCAACCCATTTGGAAGTAAAAAAATATTTTTTTTATATTCCTTTTAAGGTGTTTGTAAAATTACTTAAATAAACATTTTAAAGTTTTTTATTCTTAATTCCAACGTTTTATTACTTACTTTGATGCAACACCTAGTTGTGTGTTAAAAACTTACACATATATTCATATAGGTTTGGTTTCGATAAATTGAAAGAGTTTAACTTTTTTAAACTATTAGTAATTCATGTTTTGAACATTAATATAGTTAGTTAGTACTCAGTCATATTTTTAACATAACTTTTTATATAAAATATTTATCTTAAACAAATCTTTAGACTACACTTTATAACATTACAACTGATTATTTAATTAGTTTTTTTTTTACGTGTACCAAATGATATACAATAAAAGGACAAATTTAAATTTAAGTGCAATATACTGTATTATTCTTCAATTCAAATTGAAGTTTCACTTCAAAAATTTACATAATAAATGTCAACATTAGAAATAAACATAACATTAAAGGTTGACACATATTATCAAGATAAAATTTTAATTATGATTGAATAATACTAATAAATATATGATGTTGCATCTAAATTTTGTTCCTAATAAAAATCTATATGTAGTAAATTTTTGTTAAAAATTATAAAATATCACAAGATTAAATACATTAATAACATTAAATGTTATAATTTTTAATATAAATTTATTATTTATTACTCTCTCCATTTATATTAGTTGTCACTTACTACTAATGCATACGTCTTAAGAAAATGAATAATTTGACTAAATATTATATAGTAAAAAAAGTAATTTCACTAAAGTACTCCTATTAAAAGTATTGAAGTTATTATAATAGTTAGATAATAATTAATGTTAAAATTATTATACTTGTTAGTTGGCAAAAAAAATCTTAATAAATAAAGATAATATTGACAAATAAAATAATTTATTTTTATAAAAAAATTAAATTAATTTCTTAACATATGCTCTTAAACACATGTAAATTGTACTCGATTAATGGTGCATTTAATTAATCAACTTGATGAGATATTTATATAATAAAAACTCATAAACTTAAAGGTGAAATTTATGAAAATAAAGTAAATGAATTATTCAAAGCTGATAAGTTAAGTAAGTACATTTCATGCATAAAAACTTGTCTATAAGACACGTTCTCTGAAAAATTAACCTGCTTATACCCTTTATCCATTTATTGCCTAATATCTGAGGGGCAAGAGAACTTGATTTAGATGAAAGGTGTTTCACTTCAAACTGAAACCATGTGGATGAAGGGACCATTGAGGGGGGAACCATTTAATTTTCCATAAATTAATGGACATACCACCTTTGCTAATAGTAGAACAAGAAGAAAGACACAATTGTCTTTACTGATGGTCCAGATGATAGGGATGAAGGTGAACATAAATACTGTGTTTTTCATATATAAGGGTCCTAAAGTTAGCAATAATTATTGTTGCTGGCGAGTCATTACATGTCATAACCAGGAATCTGATTTTCTCCATCAAAGGTTGTCATTCTCAAAGAGGTCCCCAGATTTCTCATGCACTAAGACAATCCAAAACCGTGGCACTGACACAGACCCACTGACCCACCCTCAATAATTCAATTCCGAAGGCTATTACATCCTCACACAATTTCCCAGAATTAAGGCCATTTATCAGGGCAGCATTTATGATCCTTCAGCTTTCCCTTTTCAACTTTGAATGATCCCATGATATCTCTGTAATGGACACATGGTGTTCCCTCTTTTTCTAAGGGCATTATATTGTTTTGAGCACATTTTTTCTATAACTCATTAATTTTTTTTAAAATAATCTATCTTCTTTACTAACTTATTAACATTAAAAATAATTAAATTAATTATATTTTTTATAAATATAAATTTTATTTTAAAAATATTTATAATATTAAACGGTATAATTAGTATAGTCACTAACTTGTAAATATATATTTAATAATAATAATAAATATTAATAATTTTAATAATTAATACATCTCAAATTTATTTTATATTTTTTATAATTAGGATTAAAAAATTTATTTTATTCCTTATAAAAAGATAAAGGAAGTATTTTAACAATAATTTAAATTATTAAATATTTTTATATTTTTTAATAACTTTTTTCTCTATCAAAACTTTACTTTTTGTTTTTATCAAAATTTTACTTGCTTTTATTACTTTTTTTTAAGTTTTATTACCATATTCTTTTATCGTGTATTAAACATCATTAAATTTGTTTTAACTATATTATAAAAAATGATTTATTATTAAAAATTATGTTAATCAGTTTTCATCTACTTGATTTTTTAAACGTTTATAAAAATAGAATTTCATGCTTTCATAAATGAATTTTATAATTAAATTTTAAATTCATAAAAATTAATTTTAAAAAGTATTAATGTTTCTCGTAGATAACTTTTTAAACTTAGAATTTTATACTTTAAAAAATAATTTTTTTACACTTTCAAAAATTAATTTTTTAAAATTATTTTTTAAAATTATTAACCATTTTTGAAAACTAATCTTTAAAGTGTAAAATCTTAATTTTAGAAACTTATTTTTAAAATAAAATTAATAGTTCTAAAAATTACTTTTTGAAAGTGTAAAAAGTTAATCTAAAATCTTATTTGAAAAGGTTTTGATTATTATTATTATTATTATCATAAAGTATTTTTTAGAGAAAATTTAGAAAATATATTAATGTAAGCGTGACAAAATGTTGAAAAAGTAAACCCTGGTTTTAATTATTAGAAAAGGTGTTTAAATATTTTTTTAAAATGTTATCATCAAATTTTAAATTTAAGAAAATAAAAGTAACAATAAAAATAAAATTAAAAATAAAAATATTTATTATATTGGAGATATAAAAATATAATCAATTATTTTTTATATAAAAAAAATGTACTATTATTACTTACTTAAATTTAATTTTAAGAGAAAAAGATAACTAAATATTTTTTAAATTTTAATCATATAAAATATAAATGGGTTCTTAACTTCAGCCTGAAATATAAAATGTACACTACGTGCATTCCACAGATACACTTTACAATACCTAACAATTATAAAGTTTTTCCTTTATTTACATCCTTTGCTTTTGAAGTGATCTTTGGTTTGCTCCAAAATGTTTGGTACTATAGCTTGGCCACGCAAATGGATATACAGTTATGCAAAGAAGATTCATAAAAAAGCAGTTGAAATCCAGTGCATATAAAAATAAGAACAGGAGCAGAAATAATTGAACTTTCAAAGAGAGAGATATGTAGAGAATAACAATGTTAGTGAA